ACACACACACACACACACACACACACACACACACACACACACACACAGTTACACTCACCTGAATCCATCGTATTCTCTTGGTGTTCACGCTAACACACACATTTAATACTCAGTTACCACATTTCTGGCCCGATAGAAGCCAAATAATGTTGTCTGCATCCAACCGATTTGTTCGGAAAAGTAAACAACCATCACTGATACAAGAGAAATGCTCACATCACAGAAAGAAAATCTTGAATAGCAACAAAAGAAACATGATTTCAAACTGCAGTTCCTTAACTATAAAGTGGGGGTTCATAAATGCTAAAGAACAATATCACTCTGAGCTTTCTGAAGTTCATGAACCACCCGTTCTAGATGTCAAAGTTGCATAATAACAACAGAGTGCGACTTGATAACCACTGGTGAGTGGGTGCAAACTTGCATCAATTGTTTTCAACTAAACCTGCTGCTGCTGCTCATATAGAACATATACAATATTCGTATACAACATTTGATACATGTCACAGAGAAAACACATTACCGGTTTCTGAGCCTGTTGGTCCACTCTGCTCCCATATCGAGACTAAAGGATTGAATTAGAGAGTTCCTCTCTCTGTTTATTTCAACCTGATGAATACACCTTCATTCTGTTTGTGCTCTCCGCGTTCCTCTTTTAGAGATCTGCTCAGTCCCCTCTGCCTCTCAACCACGCTGTTGTGGCTGGGGCACAAGACCGGCAGGCAGGTTTCTCTGCTGAGAGGTCGTATTGTGTGCGAGACCCCTCCCACCCAGTCACTCCCCCCTAACTCCCTTACCTTTAGAAGGTGACCTGATCTGATGGCCTATTTGGGAGCTGACCGGTGTATTTCTTCGTCCCTATGAAAAGCCAATAGTTTGATATGTTTTAAGTCGACAGTTGGTATCCAAGAAACCCACGTCACCTTTTTGTGTTCTCTCTTTAGCCCTTTTTTCCCTTCTATGGACTGAAAATAAAATTTTGGTCCTTCTCTAACAAGCCCAAAAAGAAACTTTTTACTCGTATGTCATACATCAATAGTCCTAGAAAGAGTCCATACCGTGGCTGAGGCCTTTACGATGGTCAGACAGAGGAGGGTACGCTGGAGACTCCAGCACTTCCTGGAGAGAACAAAAGTGAGCAATTTATTATATATCCCAGTCTTTAAAAAAAATGGCCGGTAGAAGTACTGCACGCCAGCACTGAGGGACCTCAGTGTGATTACTCAAAATCAAGTTGAAGTAAACACTGCCCTTATCTCATTTTGTATTGATTGCTTTAATTTCCTGTGTTCTCATTGAGTCTGTGAATACTTTCTCAAAACTCGTGCGGCATGCAGGCCAAGAAGATATTACAAAATCTAAATCAAAACAACCCACAAAGGCACGCATTTAATTGTTACATTTGTTAGTGTGATGGAGTTTGAATGATTTTTGAATTGTTCTAAGTTAGCCCTTGGAATGAAGTGTATTTTAGTAGTTTTAACACTCTACGTGTACACACACATTAAAGTTGAGTGAGCCAGTGGGCCTCTGAAACACGTAAAGGTCTACCACCTGCTCCTCTCTTCCAGCTAACCAGCTGCCCTGCTTGTCCGCTGCATCTATAAGGACCCCATAATACGGTAGTATGGAAACTAAGTGTCAGCTACCCAGAGAGCCCCTCCTCCTCCACACACACACACACACACACACACACACACACACACACACTCACACACACACACACCTATACACACACTTATCTATACAGCCAATTACTACTCCCACATGTTTGTCTTCTGGAAGACCCCTCACTGCCAGTCTGCCTGTGTGTCTGTTAATTGTGGCTACATGAGAGCAACAAGCCACATTGTGAGCCACGCAGACTTCTGCACTCGCACACACACGCTTAAATACAGCAGATTATTATCAAGGTGGATCATAACAGTTTTGTTGTCATTTAAGAATAATGTTCAATAAAATGACTGACAAGCAACCTCTTCCCCCAAAGGACTTACCCCTGTGTGGCTATATAGTAGAAAGCCGCTCCGATGTGCTGGTATCTGCGTGGGGAAGGCGGCGGTCGTCTGATCGGGATAAAGGCTCTCGAGGTCCAACTCCACGTCCGAATCCCCAAACTCTGAGTCCAAATCCTGGCCTGAGTATTTGTCAAGGGCTAGGAGTGACGTGGAGGCAGCATCTGCGCAAAATCAGAAACAATTCTAACCCCTTTGTGGCCTGTGTTGAAAACGGTTTCTCCCAGTGCAGGTCAAGAATTTGAGAAAACTCCAGATCCACGTTAAGGCGCACAGGGTCCACACCCACACGAGGACCCTGTGCTGTTTACAGAATGTGGGGAAGTAGAGGTGAGTTGTAAAAGTTGAAAAACGACTAGTTTTACCTTTCTCTATGTGTTTTTTTTTTTATCTCTCTTTATCCATCCTCTCTGTGTCACCTTGATTCTGTATCGCCATCCTTGATACAAACTCTGACTCACACACTCGAGGCTCTCAGCAGCGTGCTCGCTTAAAACACACACAAACAAGCCTTTCCTATACCCTCCCACATAAGTGCAGGCTTTGAGTGCCACTGCGGAGGTTTTACTCTGAAAAAAACAGGATCATGAATGAACTTGGTATGCTGTTTGTGTGTGAAAGGGAGAGAGAGAGAGAGAAAAAAAAAAGAGCGTGTACTTACATTTAGTCATGAATAGGAAGACATTTTTAGAGGTGTGTGTATGCTTTGAATTGAACACCCAATTTAATAAGTAACCGATAAATGAATCAGTAACCAAAGTGAAGCCGATAACATGAGGTGAAGTGACCAAGTGTGAGCAACATTTGTTAATTTCATGAAATGAGAAGCAATGATTGTAATAGAAATAAACATATCTGTTGCCAATGGCCACCTATTCATGAATGTATGTAATACAAAAGTATACAATCTCTTTTTGACAGTTTCCATGTTGTATTTAAACACAAAAGAGAGCACTGTAGTGTTATAGAGTGCAAGTGTGTGGGGGAGGGGGGGGGAGGGGATTCCTTTTCATTTTAGAAAAACTTTTGTTATCAGCATAATTCTAATCAGATTATAGCAGTGGTGGGCCGTCAGGGCCAGCTAAGCCTTCTCTGCTGGCCTAAACAGAATCACAAAGTTATAGCTATTTTATAATTTAATAATTTTTCACAAATACACTACATGTATTATCATTTTTTTCCCCATCATTTTATTTTCTCATTGCACAGCTCCCGTCTTCCTCTGTTGCTCTACTTCTAGCCTGCAGCGCTGCTTCCAGCACACCTTGTTTTAAGGAGAGCTTTTATCCAATCAGATTCAGCCCCTATGTCTAAGGAGAGAGGCCCGAGGTCCTCTAGGTAGACTTTGCAGATTAAAGTATATGAGGACAACATTGTTGATTGTCATAGTCTTCAACCAATCAGATCTTTAGTTTGACATGTTGGGCGTATTGTTTGACGTGCGACTGGCACCGAGGTAGCCTTCTAAGTACGTGCATTAACTGTGCCGTGATTGGTCAGCGTCAGCGTGACTTTTGTCAAACAGAAAGCTAGCTAGCAGATCTTAGTATTTAATAAGAGCTCAGGTTGAAACATATGTAAGAGAAGTTATGACATTTTTAGCATTTTGCTTGGTGTAGATTCTTTTTTTTTTTTTACCTAGCTGTGTTTTTTTAACACTCAATGGCTGAACTAGGAGAAACGGATTTCTGGAGAAGGATATTTCCAGAAAAACTGGACATCATATCAAAGGGTCGACAGGGCAGGGCAGCCCTGACCCAGCATGGAAAAGGATTTGTACGAATGGTATTTCTGGCTGACAGCGTTGGAGAAGCGTTGCACATTTTATGGCTAAGAATGCATTTCATTTGCAACTGAGCTCTTGGTGTTTGGAGCTGTTTGGAGCTGTTTGGAGCTACGCTATGCTAACCAAGGCAGCTACACGACAGGACAAGCTACATGCTTTTGAACAGCAGCTGTGGTAAGTCAACTGCTTTTGCGTTTTTATATCTGCAGTAGCAGTAGCAGTATCGTGTCATTTTTATGAATAATATGAATGGCTCGTGCTCTAGCGCTGTAGTGTTGCTGGATTGATTTGTTGCTTTGTTGTCATATACAGATATGACAACAAATATGTGACTGGTTCTTGTCATTGTGTTAATTACATTGATTTGGACTATATGCATTGTACGTTAATTACGAAGCATCCCGTCATGCGCGGGGTTATTGGCCGGACAATTGAATCCGTTCGGGCTGTTGTTTCCCCGCTAAGCTAGTTAGCTTAGCCCCCCTGAAGACACGTGCGCAGTGTTGCCAACTCATCAGTAAGGAAAGTAGCTATTGGCTGTCCTAAAAGTCGCTAGAAGTCGCTAAATGACGTCATCGCCTAATTTGCATAATTGTAATGAGCGCTGTAGGAGAGTGGCGGGAACAGCGGCGGCTTTGCGCATGCGCGATTCATTTGCACACGGAGAGTGTGGGTCTCATTCTGCAGCTGTGACTGCTGCGCGAGGGGCTTTCACGTCAGAGTCAAAACACCAGAAAAGTCTCCAACAACACCAGAAAAAGTAGCTAGATTTGTCGCTAGTAGCTTTTGACAAAAAAAGTCGCCATGAGGGTTTGGAAAGTCGCCAGATTTAGCGAGAAAGTCGCCAAGTTGGCAACACTGCACGTGCGGTGCCGCCGCCTCAGCTGTTTTTTGTTATTGTTCCGGGTTCAAAAGGTCACAGCCCGTTGTCTGTTCGCAGTCCATCGAAAATATTATATTTCTCACAATTTAAGCTTCTGCATTTTCCAAATGCACTAGTATTATTCAAACATATTGTTCGGTTCGTAAGCCTCGCACCGAACGGTTTAATACGAATACATGATGTTACACACCTAGAAACAAATAACCGTAGCTGTGGGATCATAATGAGCTTATTAGGAGATGGCT